AAGTTCATTATGAAAATTCTTAAATTTAAATAAAATGTAAACAAGTTCTTTATTTTATCAATAGAAACTTCGATGCATATTAAAAAAAAAAAGAAAGATAAAACGCACTAGACTTTACATATTGTCTTATTTACAGACAAAGATAATTAAAATTTTCATTCATAAAAAAAGAAAAATCAACCGTTAACAATCGAAAAAAAAAAGACAAGATGGAAAGCACCGTATAAACTAGTCAAAGAAAAAAAAAAGAAAGAATTTCACAGCCTAAGTCGGCATTAATTTTTGTCCGCCAGTGGCTGATGTATGTGGAACTTTTTTTGATGATATATGATGAGGTGACCCAGCTGTTCTAACTAATGTTTGTCTTGTTGTACCTGTCGATGTTAAATTTCCTTGCGAATGATAATTAATTATTGTCTGTTTATTATTTGGATAAAATTTTAATGGTGGTGATGCTTGTTGAACATCAAGTCCTCCACCACCGGTACTTTTTGATGACCTACTACTACATGAACTAACACGTGAATTTAAACCAGAATTTTTAATGAATAATCCAATTGCTTTTACTGTTACTGATGGAGCTAAAAAAGCAAAAAAAAATGCATTGTAAATAAATTCTTTTTTCTTATGTTAATAACATTCCATAAAATAACTTGAAAGGTTTTTCTTTTTTTGCTCGATGCAATTTTGTCCTTTACTTGAGTATTTCAATTTGACAGAACAAAAAAAAGCAAATATAAATAAAGAAGGACATTCGATAAATTTATAGCATTAGAAAAAAAAAGGCAGGAACGAGGTAAATGATACACAGCAAAAAAAAACACAGGAGAATAATACCTAATTATAACGAGTGTTCAGAGTTTCGTCAAAACTTAGACGAAAAATACATGTGGAATCAGACTCTGTATAGGGGGATATTATAATGAACAATAAGATGAAGAAAAAAGATTTAATGAACCTACCAGGATTATAACGTATTGGTGAATTTTGTTGATGTTTTTTTGGATGTTCAAAATGTGATGTTCGACTAGGATTTTTTGATGTACGAGAACCATATGGATCATGTGGTAAATGAAAACCATTTTGATTAGCATGATCAAGTGTTGAATTTGGTAAACTACGCGGTTTAAATTTTTGTTGTTGTTGATGATGATGTTGTTGTTGTTGCTGTAATATTAAAATATTTCCTCGTTGTGTGGTTATAGAAGGTTTTATAGGTGCAAGACTATTTGCATTTATGACTCGTCGTGTACCAATATGTTCATTGATTAAATCACCATGAGTACCACCCGCAGCTGAAGTTTTTCTTAAAACAATATCATGATATGATTTTCGTGATGTTAATCGTGATGCTGGTACTAATTCATTTAATGCTTCTTGTGTTAAACCAGCAGTAATACTACTAGCACCGGTATTTGCTCGTACAAAAAGTTGTTCATCAAAAGCATAATTTGATTTTTCTCGACAAATTTTATTAGGATTATTTACTAATGAAGATGATTGACGAGGTAATACACGTCGACTAGGTAATAAAGGTTCATGTCGATCAAGTTTATCGAGTATTATAACATCTGATGAACCATCACCCGTAGCACCACCTGTTGTTGATGACATACCTGTTACTGAATTATTATATGTTCGATCGGGCCAACCGAGACCTTCGTGAAGACGTCGTTCAACTAATGTATACAATGCTCGAGATGCAATTGGCTTTCGATATAAGACAGCTTCTTCAATTTCTTGTTCTGTAAAACCATGTCTAACGAAAAAAAAAACAAACAATTGTTTATTAAATTTCTCTTTGATTAATTTACTTGAATGCAAGATATTTCGTAATATTTCTATTAATTTCTCGTGTATCACAATGCGGTTTATATGGTGTCAGTGGAATAGGTCCTAATTGAGATGTTAAAAATGGATGACGAAGAATTTCTTGCATTGATATTCGTTTTGTTGGTGATGGTTCTAATAATCTTGATAATAAATCTTGACAATCTAAATAATTACAATGAAATTAACGAAAATCAAAAAAAGAAATCATTTGAATATTTACCTCTTGAAAGTGTATTTGGTATTTCACAACCTTTAAGAATACATGCATGAAGTTTAGCAAGATTTCGACTACGATGTTCAACTTTAAATGGAAGTCTACCAACTAACATAGCATACATATTAACACCAATACTCCAAATATCGACAGCTGGACCATATTCTTGATGTGCAAAGATTTCGGGAGCAGCATAACTAAATAATAAATAAAACAAGTATTAATTTTAAAAAGAAAAGCATACTCTTCACTAAAGTATACTTACGCTGGTGATCCACATTGAGTAGTTAAAAAACCTTTTTCATCAAGACAATTACTTAGACCAAAATCTATCAAATATAAAAAAGAATAATATTAAAAAAGTCAAACGAAAAAAATCCATATTTTACCAATAATAACAATATCATTATTTTGATCAAGCATAAAATTTTGTAATTTTATATCTCGATGAATAACACGTGCATGATGCATATGATCTACAGCTGAAACAATTTGTCGAATATATTTTCTTGTTTCATTTTCATCTAATTGTCTCCTGAAATAAAAAAAATAAAAATAAAAAAACAAACAATTTGTATATGTTTTACTTTTTTGTTAAATATTTAACAAACTCATTTCCTTGAACTAAATCCATAACAATATAATAGGAATTTTCGGTTTCCATAACTTCATGTAATTGTACTATATTCGAATGTGACATACGTTGCATCATTGATGCTTCACGACGTAAATTAGCTCGTAAATAATTTCGTTTAAATACTTCACGTTTATTAATAACTTTAACAGCAACCTGAAGCAAAAAAATATGTTTATCGAAATATTCTATTTTAAGAATCTCATGGACATAGAAATGTGCATTAGAGAAAAACAAAATGCTTTTTAATAATTAGAATGATTGAGCATCAAAAAACAATCTGTACTTACTTTCATTTCAGTAATTAAATGAATACCTAATCGTACTTTAGCAAAACTGCCTTCCCCGAGTGTTTTTAAAATAATATAATTTCCAACTTTTTTACGTTTTTCATCCAATGATATATCACCAGTACCTATTGTAGATGCTTTATCTGGTGTTGCTGTAGTATTTATATCATGAACCATATTTATATAGATTGAAGATAGAAATTAATTGAATAATGCCTTAAAAAGAAAATCTATTTTATTCCAATACCGAAACAGAAAATAATCAAATTTAAGATATGCATGAACAAAAGCAAATAAATGCAGACATGTGCAAATAACAATTTCTTGTCGGTTCTTTTTTTTTTTGCTATTTGTGATGAATTTTGCATAAAAATACATAATATTCATCGAAAAGTCTAAAATAGACATGTACCATACAATCCAATAAAACGACTCAAATCATAAATGAATTCTTTTTGTTCGACATCAAACGGATTTCAACTTTTATATGAAATCTACCTTTCACATTAAAATAAAATTGTTTAACTATTTATTTTTAGTTCTTTCTTTTTTTTTAACTATTATCATTCGACAATTTTTTTTTCTCTTAACGGACATCGTTCATTCATACCTGATTTTTGTTTAATTTTTTAAAGATATTATTGTTACTATTTAAAATGATAATCATTAATGTTAGACATAATAGCGATAAATGGACGATAATGAAGGTTGTGTCATATTTTATTATTATTAGTGGAAGACTTTTACGTGACTATGTGACAGGTATGTTTGTATATGTGTGTATGTTTGAAATCATTGAAAAAGCGAGAAAGAATAAAGCAAAAAAGAAACAGTAACAGCGAATGATGTCGGCTGTAAGTTGAATGACTTCTCACATGTTAAAATTCATCGCCATCAAACAAGCACAGCAGTAGCAGCAAAGAAGATGACGATGAAGCAACAAATGCGAGTAGTCACCGTTGTAAAGTGTTGATTTTCACTTTCTTTCTTTTTTTCATTCGATCGTTCGTTCTCATGATTCTTACTATTGAGCCCCTTGTTACATTCATTATTTATGATCAATTGAGTTCGTATTGTAAGAAATGAACATACAACGATGAGACGAATAAGAAAAGAAAGAAATCAAACATCTCTATTTCAAAGAATATTCTTGAGGCTAAAATTCAATTCAAGACAAAAGATAAACACACATATATATAAATATTATTTAATTAGTATTACACAACCTTAAAAATCATCTGTATATATTTGACGATGTTTTTTTTTGGTTTTTACTTACTATTTCAAATCATACCAATATTGTAAAACTGATGTTGTTGTTTTTTCTTTTCTCTATGTAAAGTATTGAAAAATTTAGTTGTCAAGTAAAAATCAAATGTATATTCAATCACAAAAACACTCACAATGTTTTGTTTTTTCAAGTTGCTGACGTTGATTTATTTGTTTCTTGTTTTCAATCTTGTATTAAGCTTAAAAAATAATAATTTCTTTCGTTGTGCTTTCTCTCGTCTCTTTCTCTTTCTTCAGCTTTTTTTTTATTTGTTACTCTTTCTTCTTAACAAAATGTAAATCATAATTATTTATAAATTACAATAGATATCTCTCTCTCTATATATATATATTTAGACTGCATGAGTAATTACCTTTTTAATTATATGAATATAACAATAATATATCACACAAAAATTTTTTAATAAACTAGGCAAACAACGTTAGTTCACTAATTTTTTTTTCTTTATTCGTTCTTGTTAAGAGAAAAAAAAAGAAAATTACGTAGTGAGATAAGCAAACAAATACATCAAACAAACAAGCGTGCATGCAATACTGTATAGAACACTTTAACTATTACTCCAAAACTAATCACTCTCGTATCGACTACTGTATAAATAACATAATCACTCTTTCTTCTATCGTTGACATGATCGATAATTGATCAGTAAGAATTTATATGTGTACGAACAGACTAAATAAACAGACTGACAATCGACAAAAAATTTGTTGATTTTAATGAATGTCATGTTATATAGATGTCAAATATGTGATTTTATTATCGTTATATTATAATGTTGCGAGAAAAAGGATAATCAATATTTTAATTAAATGTATGGATTTTATTTTGTTTCTTAATGACAAAAAAAGAACATAAATTAAAGCTTTTATATTCAATATAATATCAAGACGATAGTGTAAGATTGTTTGAAAAGAAATATTTAAAATTGCAATTTTATTTGCTTTCCTTACAAAAAGGTTTTTTTTAAACATCAAAGAAATATAAAATTATCTTCATCGTTCAAAATAGTTCATATATATATATATCACAAATAATAAAACGTCTCATCTTTTGCTAGAACATAATCAATGCTGTTGATTATCATGTTATTTCAGTTTCAAGTTATCATAAGATCTATCATTCTTTTCAAAATATAACAAACAAAAAAAATTCGTTTTTATTAACAAGATTTCTTCATTCTGTTAAATTTTACTCGATTAGATAATCAATAATGTGTCTCCAATTCTCGTTAGTCTTATAAAGTATTTTTATGATAATGAAAGCTCTATAAAATTTTATCTTTTTTTTTATTATTGAGACATATAAAAATCTTGTAATAGTCTCGTCTATGACCTAGAATAAGCAAATACTTATATCGACAATACAATTATTCCTTTGTCTTCTAATCATTTCATTCTCAAACTTTATTCAGAATTGGAAATGATAAACAATTATTATTTTCTATTACAAACTAATTCTCTCTTCAGTTATTTCAGGAAACCAAACATCGCTTGATTGTAGCTAAATATACTGAAGCTTTCGAAAACAAAAACTATGATATGAAACATTCTATGTGACATAGAAGAGTATTTTTTCCTGCATTTTAGATGAAAACAACATACTCATTGAGCTGTCATCTTATTCTTGACTAATTTTTCAGTAAAGATTAGTCTTTATCACGTATATGACAATCTTTTCATCTCACGCAACAAGTCAGAGTGTAATTGCATAAAAATAATCATCAGATGAAAAATGACTTGTAATTAAGGAATGAATATAGATATCACGCAAGAATTGTTATAAAGTAAACGCATCCACATATAAATTAAGCTCTGAAGTCTACTTTGACAAACTATGATGCTTTTATGATTTTAATCACGTACCGAAATTTTTACAATCAAATATAAAAAAGAACAAAAATAAAGACATACATGTGCAACTCGAAAAGTCGTTACGACTTTCAACTTTTCAACTATTCAAAAGTCGAATAGTCGAGTTTACGACTATTCAACTACTCGAGTATTCACCTCTGAACGACTATTAAACTATTCGAACATAGACCAGATCGAAACGACTAAAATCACACACACATGCTGTGGGCGCCACAGAACACAGATCAGAGTGGAGCGACCAACACTACATACACATGCTGTGGGTGCCACGGAACGCACACCAAATCGCAAGACTAAAGCCACATTCACATGCTGTGGGTGTCGCGGAACACTGATCAGATCGTAACGACAAAAACTCTGCAGACATGCTTCGGGTTCCATGGAACACGAATAGTCGTAAAGTCGCACAATCGTTAGTAGTTGAATAGTCGAATAGTTGAATAGTTGTACAGTCGAATAGTTGAAAGTTGAACAGTTGAAAAGCTGAAAAGTTGAATAGCTGAAAAGTCGAATAGTTGGAATATTGAAAAGTTGAAAAGTCGAATAGTTGAACAGTTGAATACTTGAAAAATGGAATAGTTGAAAAATTGAAAAATTGAATAGTTGAAAAGTTGAAAAGACGAATAGTTGAAAAGTCGTTACGACTTAACGAGTTTCATACTACTGCCAGAAGGTTGGGTCGGATTTGGTTTAAAACTAGGTCAGACATTTGTTGATTATCATAACATATGGGAAAAATGGATTGTAACATATCATGGCACAAAAATAGATGCAGTGAAGTCCATTTTGAAACATCGCCAGTTTCTTATACCTGGTGACAATGACATGAACGGAAAAAAACTTCACATACGTAAAGGTCATATTCCTAATCAACAATATATATTCACAACGCCGTCAATAAATTACGCGAGTTTAGACATATACAGTGCGTCTTATCTATATAAGAGTATGCGTGGTAAACAATATATAGTTCAACTCATATTACAGTGTCGGCAAAAACCTGGTACATTTGAAATTAGAAGAGAAACAGTTGGAGCAGGCACAAGCCCATTATGTACATTTATTTTAAATGAAACAATTGAGTATTACACGAAAAATCGATCGACGTTAGTGCCCTATCGCTTACTTGTATGCATGAAAGAACAAACATATCATTTAACCTTTTCAAGATTCAAAGAATTGCACGACTCGTTTCGACCTGAGGTTTAAATCAATTGAAATCAGAGAATTATAATGTTATACAAGATTTTACAGATTCAAAGCAATGCGAAACAGATCAACTTATAAACAAGATATAAAATAAAATGTGTGTAAACTAATCAATTTAAAACAGATCAATCTATATTCTTTTAAAAATAAGATAAATTAATCTGCTAAGTGTGGGTGTGAGTGTGTATATAAATAATTGATTCGAAATATGAATCTTATCAAATAGCTAGCAAGACCGGTTTCGATAAGTGCTGATGTTAAACTTATCAATTGCTTTTTGATGTTAAATTATATCTCCTACTGCAAGTACTATAGTCAGAAGTTTGCTAATAAAATTCCTAAGCTAATAATACTTGGCATGATTTAGTATCAGGTAAGTTGTATAGAAAGTACCTTTTTCTTCGTTTTCTCATGATGTTCTGTCAATTGTAGATATGGTTCGGTTAGAATTCTCCAGTAGTGTATTACATAATGGGCTATGTCAGCAGTTATTATAATTACTCTTAGTAATCGAGTATTCTTCTACCAGAAATGAATTTCTATAATTTAAGGTAACAATTTTCGCGATAATTCGTCTATAGCTCGGCTGAACTATGGTATTCTATAAAAATGAGACCAGTGTCTGAAAGCCTTTGCAGTTTCGTATTTTTTGATGTGTTGCTCAAACAGTCGAACGACGTGTGCTAAGTTTTAGTAAGAACTACTATTGGTGCATTTTGATTGTTCTGAATAACGATTTTGACCGGTAATTGGCCACTATATAGAATAGGTTTGCCCCAAATAAAGATATGTCTTCGAATTTATGA